TGCAGTTTAGATAAAGGGGAACCAATGATCTTACATTTCCAGAAAGCATTTGATAAGGTGCCGCATCGAATGCTATTGCAGAAAATAAAAGCTCATGGTGTAGGAATGGCATGAATTGAAAATTGGCCAGCTTACAGAAAGCAGAGAGTAGGCATAAGTAGTTGGCAAGATGTAATGAGCGGTAAGCCACGGACACCAGTGTTAAGCCCTCGATTACTTACAATTTATAAAAATGAACTGATTGATTGATTGATTTTATTTATTATCACATTGTAGGAGCATTTTTCCCGACCTGGGACAAAGACTCAGGGGGCAGGCAGGATTCAGGCAAGTGGAAGGTGTTTATTCAAGGAGAAACCGGTTTATGCAGGGAGAGGCCCAAAGGATCTTCACCGAATCTGGCTTTGGAAGATAGGTCAATGACGCACCCTCCGCTTTTACAAAGAAACACAGCATTTTTATACATTTTGTGTTACAGTCCTCAAATAGAGTGTAGTCACTGTCCTTCCCCCTAATCCAAACACCCAATCCTGTGGGACACCTAATCAGTGATGGGCACTTCTATGGACAACCCCAGCTAATACCATGATCTTATGGTATTAGACATTATAATCTCTAAACCTTGGGATCTTCCTATGCATCCTATTCATCCACATTCCAAAAGTTTAACGGCTCTACTCCTTCGGGTCTTTCTCAAGCTTGTTTTTCTGTAAGGACAGCTCAAATTCCATCATCCATTGTATTTTGGTGCTTTTTAATCCCATTCAGTTACTCCTTTTATTTTCCCACTATCCCAATTACATAATGTAAAAAGAAGTCAGTTCGTTTTAACTAATTGCTATAAGGTTAAGTTCTGTTATAAAGTTAATTACAAGTGTAATGTTATACAACTACTGTCAGCATTTTTGTAATTTATGGGTTGTGATCAATCTACCTTGTTCAGGGCATAAGAGGTCTCCTTAGGCTAGTTAATCTTTACATCTAAGCTTAAATTTTTTTTAATGCTTGTATTATATCCTGGTTATGTACTGAAATCAACTTCTATGATTAGAGCATTTTTAGCTAGAAACTATGAAGTATTGCTGGTAGCTTCAAAGAGGCAACGATTTATTATGAAATAACTTTAGCTATTATCCTTGCAGCTGCTTAAGGATCTAATCTAGCACCTAACATTATTCATTTATAGGGACAATCATCCTTTCATTAATAAAGCTGGAATTGGTCATTTATCTGTCCTATGGCATCCTTTTATCAGAGCTATCTCGGATGGGAATTTACAGCGTTCTTTTGTTGACCTTCTAGCTGTTCTGTTCAAAGGTACCATTGTATTTCACTGTGTGAGCAGGCTGCTTAGTTTTGCTTAGCTTCTGTCTGCTATCTTGTAAGGAGGCATGGGCCGCTTAGTGTGTTCAGGTACAAGTCATCTCACTTGGCCAGATACAGGTCACCCCTACACACGTGTACCTATGTTCAGTGAAAAGCTTTGCTTATGAGCAGTACAGGCAGATCGTGGTAAACAAGGACATAGAGATCATAGGGTGAAAAAAAAACTTGGACAGAGGCATACAGGTTACATTGCACAGGGCATGCGCGAGGCAAGATCAACATTAGCAAGATCAGCATTATTTGATAAAGAGACAACACATATGGTTGCCAAATGTGCTGATGCACCAAGGGTAAGCAGCAAAGTCATAGAGTCATAGAGCTGTACAGCATGGAAATAGATGTCATTCATGCCAACCAGATATCCTAAAATAATCTAGTCCCATTTGCCAGCATTTGGCCAATAATTCCTCTAAACCCTTCCCATTCATGTACCCATCCAGATGCCTTTTAAATGTTGTAATTGTACCAGCCTCCACCACTTCCTCTGGCAGCTCATTCCATACATGCACCATCCTCTGTGTGAAAAAGTTGTGAAGAGGATATAAAGATGCTACAAAAAGATATAGTTATGTGACATAAATCTGGTGAATGGTATGTAATGTGGGCAAACGAGAAACTGTTCATTTGGCAGGACGAATAAAAAAAAGCATATTATCTAAATGGGCAGAGTTTTTCTTTATGTATTCACTTGTGAGTGTCATTGGCTGGGCCAGCATTTATTGCCCATTCCCAGTTGCCATTGAGAAGGAGGTGGTGGCGAGCAGTTTTTTTGTACCACTGCATTCCATGTGCTATAGGTTGACCCACAATGCTATTTGGGAGGGAATTTCAGCATTTTGACACAGGGACCCGATGGAATTACGATATATTTCCAATTCAGGATAGTGAGTGGCTTGGAGAGGAACTTACAGGTGGTGGAGTTCCCACGTATCTGCTGCCCTTGTTCTTCTGAGTGGTAGTGGTTGTCGATAATGGAAGGTGTCATCTAAGGATTTTTGGTTCATTTCTGTACTGCATCTTGTAGATGGTACACACTGCTGCTCCTGTGAGTTAGTCGTGGAGGGATTGGATGTTTGTAGATGTCCACCAAGTGGGATACTTTGTTCTGGATGGTGTCAAGATCCTTAGTTCTGTAAAAATTGCAATCATCCAGGCAAATGGGGAGTATTCCATCACCACATCATAGTGGACAGTCATTTGGGGAGTCAGAGGCAAGATATTTACCGCAGTATTCCTTGCGTTTGATCTGCTTTTGTAGCCATTGTATTTATACAGCTAGTTCAGCACCATTCACAATTGCAGAACTCTAAGAAGCAGGGAGATCTGAGATGTCTTTTCCATAAATCGCAAAAGGCCAATGTGGGTACAGCAAGTAATTAGGAAAACTAACAGAATACTATCATTTATTGTGCGGGAAATTGAATACAAAAGTAGGGAGGTTATGCTACAGTTATACAAGGCACTGGTGAGACCACATCTGAAGTACGACGTATAATACTGGTCACCTTATTGAGGAAAAGGTATAAATGTGTTGGAATAAGTTCAGACAGGGTCTACCAGACTGAGTTGTCTAATGAGGAAACATTGGGCAGACTTGGGTTGTATGTGCTGGAGTTTAAAAGAGTAAAAGACAACTTGATTGAAACAGGTAAGATCCTAAAGAACCTTGACAGGATGGATGTGGAGAAGATGTTTCCTTTTTTCTTTGGAGAATCTACAGAGAAGGGTCATTGTTCAAAAATAAGCAGTTGCCCTTTAAATTGGAGATCAGGAAATTTTGATGGTGTTTTTGAACTGTTCTTAAAAAGGTGGTGCAAGTAAAGTCATTAAATATCTTTAAAGCAGAGGTGGATAGATTTTTGGCAACCAAGGTGGTGAAAGCTTATCAAGGGTACACAGGAATATGGATTTGTTGTTAAAATCAAATCAGCTGTGATTTTATTAAATGGCAGAGGAGGCTCAAGGGGCTCAATGTCTGACTTCCTTTGCAAAATTAGTTGCCATACTTTCCCATAGTGAACTTAAAGTATCAATAATTATATATAAATGCAACTTTTTTCCTCTTTTGCATCAACATGATACAAAGTGTAATATTTCCATTCATGAAGAACCTAAAAATATAGTAGGAACCCTATTCTATGCATACAACTAACACAAGAATAAGGTCATTGTTAACCATGTACTACAGTACTTAATATGATCGCAATGCATGTGACTCGCTAACTGCGACTCTGGCATAATTATTGAAAGTAGAGTAGTAGGCAAAAGTTTAAACCTGGACAAGCTTGTTTACTTCACAGGATGAATTCCTGCTCCCAGTAAGAAGGACAGAAAGCAAGAACTTGGATTTTATAGCATTTTTCACAACCTCAGAAAGGAACACAGGTTAGGTAATTCTATCTGCAGCAATAAGTGACTCTTTTCCTTACACATTTTATAAGTTTTCAATCCAATTCAGTTACAGGATCACAATCCATTTTTCAAAATAAGTGGACAAACAGTAAGTGCATGCATTGTCTTAGACTGAAAACTCTTTGAATCAAGGTAAATAAAATTTAGCAATTTATGCAAAGTGTAGGTTTACCATAATAACTTTAATATACTGTGTTCAGACAGTCAGCTGGCTCCCTAAGCCCTGGGATATTTTACGCCCATCTGAGAAAGCAGACAGGTCTTCAGTTTAACATCTCATCCAAAAGATGACACTTTTGATAATGCAGCACTCCCTCCGTATGGTATTGAAGTGCCAACTGCTCATGTCATTGGCTTGGGGCTTGGACATACCACCTCTGACTCAGAGGCAAGGCCATCGCTGTAAAATGGACAAAATGAGATCCATTTTCTGCCCTAGATCAATGACTCAGTGCTGCAGAACCAGTGACATCATCCAGTGGGCCACCAAACTGGCAAATTGCAGCAATTCGATTATCATTAGTTGAATCTCCTAACATTCAATACCCTGAAAAACTGGCGATAAATGGGCAGCAGATTGCAATGGAGGTCTATTCTCTAAGCTCAGTATATTGAAGATGTTGAGGTGCATTTCTTAGGATTCATTTGCTACCTGTTCCCTGCGTCAGTGCATCTTCACACTAAGTAGGTTCTCATCTCAAGGCCATCAATACACTCTGTAGATATATGCAGCATAATGAGTGTCAGTTTTCAGTCCTTAGGATGAATCAGTGGATTTATCCTATGCTTAACTGAGTCATAGAGACCAGAACTCTATTTTTAAAACCGCGTTAATTCAGACTCATTGGTCACAGACATCAGCCATCAATCCCTCCTCCACCCACCTCTTGATTGCCTTTATCCATGCTCCCTCTCAGGACTGACCTGACGGTCCCTTCTGGCGTTGCAGAAGTCCAACATTTGTCCTCATTTCAGCAGCATACTGTTTGCCACAGTGCAACAAACATCTGCTAGTCACTGGTCCAATTAAAATGAGGTGAAGTTCTCCTCTTGTTGAGGTTTCATTTCCAAATGTTCTGTCCAAGGAATCAATTCCTGTGTACAGATCACACTGGCTCTTTATTCCCAGACAAAAGTTACCATTTTCACATGGGAGGTGGTGGGAAAATGTCAGATTATAAAGAGAAAATAAATACCAAGTCTTCTCATAAGCCAAAGCCTGGCAGCATTTATTTCTGTAATGATATATTTTCAACAGTATAATACCTGCAAACACAAATATCTCAATGGAATGCATAGATTTGCTCAAATATAATACTACTTAGGTTTTAAATAGTACACAATAGTGCTTTGGTTAACATTTAAGACTTAAATAGTTTTCAAGTAATACAGTGCCGAATGTCAAATACTTCTCATTAGCTGCCTTGGGCTATTGATGGTTTGTGCATTATTGAATGTTCTGTATTTGGGCCATCCTTTTGGCTTTGGTAAGTAAGTATCTGTTTCTTCCTTCTTCGAACCGTCTCTTTTCATCTTCTGTTTCAATCTGTTAATAAAGAAACAAATGGTGATATTGGATCATTCAGTGTTTCCAATCAGGAATGGGGGATAGGTCAGATGTATGTTTGATCTGTGAGACATTGTACAACCTGATTTAACAGGTTTGTGGAGTCAGTGATAATCACCTAGGATCAAGATGTATCCTTGTTCCTTTCTAATTAAGAAATTTAATGTGCATTGTCAGCATCTTTTGGCATTGGTGATGAACCTAATAACAGAACATATTTAATGAAACTGCCTTGTGATAGAAAACAATGTCAATCAGCACCATCATACTGTACAATGGACTGTTCTTATAAAGTAGCAACTCACTATATTTATAGTGAGCAATGCAATGGCAGAGCCCATGTGGGTACTGATCAGTTGACCACACCTCAAGGTCAGCCAATACTGTTACTTAGACGAAGTGTCAGCTTGGCATTTTCAAAGGGATCTCTGACCTCTGAGCCAGAAGGTTTGGCATCCAAGCCCAACTTCAAGGTGGTTTAATTCAAGCTGAAATTTCAGGGCAGCAAAAAATGAGTGCTGGAATTATCAGAGCTGCTGTCTTTGGCTCGAGAAGTCAAACCAAAGCTACCACTGTTTGTCATGACGGATACTAGAAATCTTTCAAATCTTGAATGAAATTTTTTTTCAGTGTACAGGTCAGCATTTATCCTTCAACCAATGCTATCAAGGCATACTATAATGATACCATGGGAGATCCACTCGCTTGTTAACAACTTTGATCTGACAGCAGACATGATTAATTGAGGCATTATTGCATTGCTGCTCATGCCACGATTTCAATTTATGGTTATCAAAATGCTCCTTCAAAGAAAAAAAAAGTTGTATAGAACATTTATCGTTAATTCTAATCCAAATGCGATAATTAGTTGGTAATTCAACTGTAGGTTGTAAGAGCACCAGTTTGAGTAAAACATTCGAGATGTGTTCTCTTTCCGCCTGTAATTCCAAGCAACTGAACTTCTCTGCATCTATTCTTCTTTAATTATAGTTACAGTTTGGTAATTCCATGTATGAGTTGACCCACTGTTCTTTAATTGAGCTGACAGTTCTTTAGTCTGAAGCTAGCATACATCCGCACATGCGTTAGTGATCAGCACTCTTGTGAAATGTCAGGCTTCAGTATGATGCCTTTTGACAGTTATATGAATGAGCTGAGTTTGGACAGTTAATTGCCAGGCTGGTTCCACAAGCCACCATGACAAGCACTGCAGATGTGGAGAAATGACTGCTGCACCACCCATAAAGACACATTACCACTAGTAAACTCTACAGCCAGCCATCTGTATATTCATGTTGGGCAAACCAAAGAAATCCAAGCCTGAATCCATCCCATTTGCATGGAAAACTTCTACAGTGTGCAGCAGAACTTCTTTTGCTCACTGTGCTCCACATCCACTTTCCAGCAGAAGTCACTGGGTAATGATCAGAAGTCATAAACTAGGTTGATTTTGATAGGAAGAATAAGGAAGCCACACACTACCTGGAAAGTAAGAGTTTAATTGGGGTAGAGGCGCAAAGGGATTTAGTGAGTACAGACACACAAACCATTACAAGATGGAACGCCAATGTATAAAGCCACAGGAAAAGCAAACAAAACAGTAAGGTTCATTTGTGGAGGAACAGAATTGTAAAGCAGAGGGATTATGTTAAAGTGCATGATGCACAGTTCTGGTTTCTGTACAATAAAACAAATTCAGAGACACTGGAGAAAGTGCAAAAAGGAAAGTTAAGAACGAAACCAGAACTGACAGGTTGTATCAGGGAAGATTCAATTTAAAAATGTGTAACTTGCTACTGCAGGAAAGCTGGATAAATGCATTAGGGAGAAAGGGATGGAAAGGTTTAGATGAAGAGGGGCTCAGTGCTATCCTGTGCAGTGGGTGTAACTACTAATTGGAGAAATAAACTTTAATGAGTAGCATAATGACAGGGAAAATCTCTAACCATAAGAATGACACCAGGATTGCAAATAAATTGCAAAATGCACTACAATGATATATTGAATGTGTCAGTAAACACTCCAATTTATTGCTTTAGATACTTCACCGAAAAAGAGATACACATCCTCCTGTGCTGCAATTTTATCTCAATGCCAGCCAACGCGTGTACTACACTTGACACATACTTGCTGGCATAATGGAATGAATTTCAAGTGTCATTTCACCAAAATTACTCACTGATGTCTTTGTTACTGAGAATACTGGAGGTGTCGTAGGTGTCAAGGTCAAAAGACTCTTAACTATACAATCACAGAATCAATTAGTGCAGAGATAGAAAGAACTATTAAACATTGTTAGTGATATCCACTGAGCGATGAGTTACACAACTAAAGCTAGTGCTTGCCTAATACTTAAATAACTAGCATAGCAAAGGACCACTTTAGCAGTTTTTGGTTTAGAATTATATCAGCAATGTTGAAAATTCTGACATTCAATCAGGCAAGCCATTTGCTATTTCTCCACTCCCACTGCACACTCCAAACCATCATTACTTGCCTACCTTCTGACTTGGATCTCTTTTGCTTAAACCCACAGTTATCCCCTGCTGCTGCTCTCTCTGCATTCTCCAAAGGGCCGCATGAAGAACATATCCCTTCCTCATTATTAGCAACAATCCTAATTGTCCCACTGTCCTCTCTTATTAACTTCCAGCATACCCATTGGGTCTAATACTGCCAATGTTTACCAAAGAAAAATATTGACCACGTCCCAAGATTCCTTTCTTCATTACAAACCATCCTCTTAACCACTTTCCCTTTTACATTCAACAAGTTCAAGGAGCTTATACACGTCTCGGTCACTAAAATTAATACTATCCATTCAACTGCTTCTCTTCCCACAAATCTCTATACTTCCAAAGCCAAATCTCCCTCAGGCCACTCCTACTTATAATTTTCTCTCACTTCTTTCCTACCCCATGTTTTCTTCAAGCTAATTTTGTTTACAAGACTTTCCCCTCTCCATTCATTCACTGGACTGCTGACCACGCAACTTTCTCTAGGCGTGTTTTGTCTGACATTGTAAACTGTTCCCTTTATTTGGTCTCTTTCTGCTCCCTTTCAAATCTTTTGTCATCACTAGCCGCCTTCACTTCTGACCCATCTGGCCTTGTAATTGCCAGCCCATCTTCAACTTCTCTTTCCTGTTCAAATGATGTTGGTTCCTCCCAAATCCATGCCCATTTTCTCCACAGCTCCACATTTGAATCCCTTCAGAATGAATTGCAGTTCCTGTCACAGCAACAAAACAGCCCAAGTCAAAGCCACTTGCAACATCTTAAGTGTATATGGCCACAATATACTATCCTTTCTCAAATCTCTCTATTGCCTTTTACATCATCAATCTACAGTGTCCTTCTCAAACATGCATTCACTCCACTTTTGAGTCCACATCACCAGTCACTTACAGCTTTGCTCAGTAATTAACTCCCTACTTAAAACCTTCCTTGTTCATTAATCGTTTAGTCACCCCTCCTAATATGCTTTGGCTTGGCATTCATTTATATTGATCACTGTCTTACAAAGTGCATATTTTTCCCTGGTAATGGTAGACTACTGCTTATACAACAAAATGCAACATTTCAAGAGAATTCCAAAATTATTTTGAAACTTTCCATTGAAGATTTTTTCTTGCATTTCTTGTGTTTTCTGAATTTTTTGGAGCACTTTGAATTCTGATCAGCTTGCTGCGTTATACAAGTTCGGAAATGAAAAGCTAATTATTCCCAGCATCTCACCCTTGAGGAGCTACGGACAAAAAAAGCAGGTGCCTAATTAACAAAGAGCAAGTTACCACAAATTAATTACATACAGCTGTCACATTTTTCAAACACCTTCAAGTAGCATCGTGACAGTAATGGCTCTTGTGGCACAGTAGTATTATCCTCACCTCTGGACCAGAGGCCTGGGTTCATGTCCCACTTGTTCCAGAGGTGTGTATTAACATCACTGAACAGGTTGTCTAGGTAAATATATTCAATTATGACAGTGCATCTGCCCAAGTGTTTGTGAGATATTCTATATATCAATGCAACAATAATCAGAACTGTATAAAAATATAGACTGAATCATAAATACATGTCACTTGTTAGAATTATAGCAATAATAGCACAGGCAGAGGACAATCAGATTTCTGTGCTATGCTGATGCTAGTTCACCACTGGAGTGATTTATTGTAATCCCATTTCCCTATATCCTTTTACACTCTTTTCAAATAGTTATCAAGTTCCCTTTCATAATATGTTACAGTCTATCTCCATAATTACTTGTTCTGAAGCAATGTGTACTAATAACCCCCTTTGAAAGAAAAATGTTTCTAATTTACACTTTTTCTGATATTAATGATGATTCATTAACAACTGGTTGCCAACTCCAAACCTTTAAGAGGTTTTTAAGTCTCTGTGTGATCCATTTTGCCCACTTAATCTTCCATTTTCTGCAGAATATTGGCTCAATTTTGGAAGCTTTTCTTCACAAGTACTGTTAGTGCTTAGTAGTGTTCTAGTGAATTCTGATCTACTTTTAATAATTAATAACAAAAGGCAGCATAAATACAGGATTTGAATTCAGTACGATTCATATCAAATGAGTGGACAGAATTTGAAATAATAAAGTCAGAAGTAACATATGGCTTTGTGTCATGTTTTCATTTTCCATAGTATGGGAGAAGACATCAACATATAAAAGGACACTATGTTTATGACAAAGTGTTTGACAAACTGTTTTGTTTTAGGAAGAAAAATTAATTGTGATTATCACTATGGCAATTTCTTTGCATATATAAGTTTGGATAGTGTTTGTGGCAGCAGGGTGGAGAATAATCACTCTCTAATCATTGAGCACAATGACACCACAAGTCACTCAGGAAGAGTCCTGGTTCATTTACAAATATCAACAGAGAAAATCTTCCTGTAGTCCATTTATATTCCCAACACGCAATGACAGATAACAGAGCGGTTTGACACATGCTTTGTATTTGT